GCGAGTGGGTTCGTATGCCACTTCAGCCGCCTGGGACCCGATCCAATGGCCCATGAATTCTATCTCCTAACTGTTGGAGATATGTATAGTGCAACTGCCAGCCAATGTCACTTAGTGAAACCCTCTGATTATAACTTCTCACAACTTGTCTAAAAAGGTGGTCGTACTGTGATGTTTCATCAGAGGATTTCGGCTTGCAATATCAGCTGACCATCACTTCGACATCTGTAGATAATCTTATCGTTTAGCTGTGCTTTTTTACAGACCATTTAACTTTATTTGATAGTTATTGTTGTTGCTGATATTGTTCATCATTTTAATGTTTGAATCAACTCATAATGTTTTATTTATTTTTCTTTTTGTATTCTTTTTTCATTTTTTTTGAATAGCTGGAATCATGACTACCAGGATGCATGTATTGACAAAGTTGAAAAATTTATGATTAAAGCGAATGTTATAACTCCACTGCCTTCCAGTCAAATGAAACCATTTGAAAAATAATTTTAAAAGAAAGATATTTTATATTATTAGGTGTCTTTCTGCTTTTTTCTCTCTCTCGAAAAAATATACCGCCCCCCCCCGCCCCAGAAAGAAAGCTTCCCTCGATTATCAGTCTATTTTGAACATGTTTTGGCATTTTCCCCTTTTTCGGCTTGTTTATATTTATACATAATACATTAATGTATACACACACAGGGGGAAATATAAGACAAAAACGTGCTTATATTGCCATACACAATGTGCATTATTATTCCTGTTTCGACTACTATTCATTCAGTCATCTGCATTTATTGTTTTACTTTTTATTATTATTATTTTTTCAATTGACTTATAAAATTATAATCAGTGTAATTCATTATTTCTATTATTATTATTATTATTATTATTATTATTATTTGTATTTGATCTAATATCCCAATTACTACTACTATTATTATTATTACACCAGATCTCGTGATTATGTTTATGCCTCTCCTTACTCGTCTGTATCTTCAACATACGGTGAAGAAAAAACAGTAAATGATAAGATTATTATTTATGGAGCAAAATATCGGCTTGTTGCTTGATTTTCCTTCTTCACAGAGTATAAAACAAATATCATGATGTTATTCATGTGCAGAGGAAAAAAACCTACTGTGACTGAATAAACATGTGTATAGATCAAAAAAAGAAGGTGTGGTATGTTATCAGTATTTCCAAATGTTATCTAAAAAGATAAAGTTTTCATGAAATTTATTCATAACTGCATTGTTTACTGTATAATCGTAGGTAGACAGCAAGCTTCACCAGTCAAAACTTTATCATTCCAAGTTATTTCTCTGTAATGCACACGTAAAGTTTCAAATGTAATCACATGGGTTCTTATCAGATTAGTAGGAGGTAAATCTACAAAATTCCTTCTATGATTGTTATATCTCGTGGAGTTGATGGGGTGTATGGAAACACATCAGAAAGTTTTCAAGAATAAATTGCATCATTGACTTGTTGATATTAGATGGTTGGAGGCAATCGGTAAGAAGCCTTGGACCTAGATTTCGTGCTAGTTGACACTCACTAGTCAACAAGGTGGATCTGTAACCTTGAGGGAACTCATGTCCCTTCTGAGATTCGAACCCGCATCACCCAGTGCTGAAGTCAGAGACGTTACTAATGAGCTATTCGGGCTCGCGATTGACCTCCTGTAGGGCTGTAGTCGATACTTTGATTGGACACTAGTAACTAGTGTGATGTGTCCAGTCCTTTCTTTGGTGCAGACTAAATTCTATCAAGGTTGCAGATACACCTTAATGACTAGCGAGTGCCAACTAGCACGAAATCTAGGTCCAAGGCTTCCTGCCGATTGCCTCTAACCATCTAATATCATCAATTCAATGTTCACCGTGATGGTGAGCTACCTAGGATGGTGGCCACATTGCAAACCTGACTGATAGAATTCAGTCTTCACCAAAGAGAGGACTAGAAGCATCACACTAGTTACTAGTGTCAAATCAAAATATCCATTACAGTCCTACAGGAGGTCAATCGCGAGCCCGAATAGCTCAGTGGTAACGTCTGTGACTGCAGCACTGGGTGACGCGGGTTCGAATCTCAGAAGGGACATGAGTTCCTTCAAGGTTGCAGATACGCCTTGCTGACGAGTGCCAACTAGCACGAAACCTAGGTCCAAGGCTTCCTGCCGATTGCCTCCAACCACCTAATATCATCACAAACTATGTACACCGTGATGGCGAGCTACCTAGAATGGTGGCCACATTACAACCTGACTGATAGAATTCAGTCTTCACCAAAGAGAGGACTAGAAGCATCACACTAGTTACTAGTGTCAAATCAAAATATCCATTACAGTCCTACAGGAGGTCAATCGCGAGCCCGAATAGCTCAGTGGTAACGTCTGTGACTGCAGCACTGGGTGACGCGGGTTCGAATCTCAGAAGGGACATGAGTTCCTTCAAGGTTGCAGATACGCCTTGCTGACGAGTGCCAACTAGCACGAAACCTAGGTCCAAGGCTTCCTGCCGATTGTT